ATTGGTTTTCTCATACTCCAGTGGAGTAGCACAATACTGGACTCTTTAGCAGGTTGCTGTTGGGAAGAGGATACTGGGTGCAATAAATTCATGGTCTGATCCAGTGGGGGGAGTTCCTTTGCTCACGTATTTGCCACCTCTCCGTCCCATCCCACCCTTCAACCCATCGTTCTCCTTCTTTTCAGATGTGATGCTGGGCGAATACCACGGGAACAAGGTTGCCGTGAAGTGCATTAAACATGATGCCACCGCACAGGCCTTCCTGGCTGAAGCTTCAGTAATGACGTGAGTACTGCGTCTTAAGAAGGAGGGGACTGATATTGAGATGCAGATTCAGTCTAAACTAGAGATAGTGATAGGAAACTCTTGCTCAGATCTGCTACAGTATGGTGTTGTTTCCTTTCTTGGGGGTGGATGTGTGACTGCAGCCTTAGGGAAAATAGGCTTTCCCCAATGGCATCCCCACCCCTGGTGTCACCCATTGTGGGGTGCTGCTGCTAGGGGGTGACAGTGGCCAAAGGGGCATGCTCAGGCCTCTCCTTCTCTGTGGTGGCAGAAGTCTCCTTGTGAGGAGCCCACCACCATTGTGGCAAATCCAGGAGGGATGCACTTGGACCTCCTCACCCCATAGGTGTCACCCCTCTTCTGGAGTTCCATCATGGGGACCAAGGGCCAGTTTTCCTCCCAGCATCCCTCCCTTGTAGGCTGCGCTACACAAGCAACACATCAAGCCCAAATATCTCTATTTTCCTTTGAAGTCATTCCAGAAATGGTGACCGCAAGTGACGTTGCATCATTTTCTGTCGTCATTTTTTTTGAAAAAGTTTATTAAATTAAAACCAATATACATCCGTACTACCAAATCAAAACAGACAGCTACATACATATAGACAACACAAAAACTAAATTAAACTAAACAGTCATCTCCTGTCATACCTACATTCTAACAAAGACATAAAAATACGAATGATACAGTACTTCCTGGATCCTTAGCTAAGTCTTTTTCCCTTTTCCTATTTATACAACTACCTTCTTATTTGAAGATTACAACTAAGATTTAGGCTATACATATATTTTATAGTCATATATATTTTATGTAATTTTCTTTCATTACATTTATTCATTATTATTGACTGAAAAATATAAAATAAATAACTTGTCATAGCTGATTCTATGCCTTTGATTTTTTTCTGTCGTCATTTTGAGAGGGACTGCATTTGGGTTCTGGGGTGCTTGCTTGTGGCCATGAGGTGGGGATATTGCTCATTTTCATACATTTGGAGGGCTTTCTACCTGACTTTGGGGCAAAAGAGTCCTGGAAAATTAATTTACGGGGGGACCGGTGGGGTGCTTTAGGGGCCAAAGTGGAGTCCAGAGATGCACCATGCCCACCCTTGCTTCTTGGCAATGTCACTCTCATACTTGACCCCCACTATCCTCTTTTGATCCTTCCCCACTATCTCATTGCAGACAGCTACGGCACAGTAACCTCGTGCAAATGTTGGGAGTGATTGTGGAGGAGAAAGGTGGCCTCTACATTGTCACAGAGTACATGGCTAAGGTAAGAACTGGTGGGATCCTTCTTGCTGCCAGCCAGAGGACTGGAACTGCTGTCCTTACTAAACCATTCTTGTCCTGTAAGAGTTTTAAGAGGAGCCCAGCTGGATCAGACCAAAAGCCAGTCCAGCACCATGTTCATCCACATGCATGGTCTCCTTAAGTTCTTGCAAATGTCACTTCTTCTTGCTCTCAGAGAAGCAGCTGAGCTTTTTTCCTCCCTTTTCCCTTGGCTTCCCATATTCCTTGTGTGTCATGTCCTAAATTCAGGGGCTGCCTTGTTTTGCAAAAGCTATGCTGGGAGTCTTTTGTGACTAAAGGAGCAAGGAACAAATGCAGCTGCTAAATTGAATGCTGATGATATGATGATGATTTTTATTTCTTACTCACTTCTCCCCAAGGCTCAAGGCAGGGTAGAACATAGATTAAAACACATAACACCATTTAAATACATAGGTTAAAACACAGAAGCATAGGACACATCAAAATCATTCAGACCTAAAACTAAAAATATAACAATTTAAAATTAATAGTTTAAAATCAACTGGATAGGCCTGCTGGAAGAGATAGGTTGGTAGGTAGGGAGATAGGCAGTCAGATTTACATCCCTTTGTGTAGGCTGTAGGCTAAGGTTTGCCTTGCGACTCTGCAGGAATGCATGGCTTTTTAAAACAACTGCACCTATATTCCTTCCATCTTGTGAGTGTCCTGCTTTCTCTGTCACACACAATCTCCAAGATTGTAGGTTCAACCCTAGGGAGAAATGGATGGGATCTTGGATCCTTAACTGTCATCTCATCTCTCAATGTTTAAATTTGCAATTCGCATGGTATAAGCAACAATATACATTCACCGGTTACCATTTCAGTGAATGACAGACACCAATAGCTTCTTACTGATATTGCTTTAAAAGGCAATTTTATTTTGTTCCAACTGTAATCACTAATGGGGCAGGGACCATATCTTGTATTTTTTATTCCCCTCTCGAAGAACATATTTTCTAACCGATATACATATCTGTGTGCAGCCTCCCTCCCAATGGCAGGTGTCACACAGAAGCAGTAGCTTCCCACCATAACCTCCTTGCTTGCTTACGTTCCCAGATCCTGCAGAAATAATACTTTCAAAGTGCAGGAGAAAGTACCGTTGAAATCACTGGGGCATATTCTGAATAGACCTGCATTGGATCATCCTGCATAAAGCTTCAAAGGGCTAGGAGGCATTGAAAAATAAGCTCGACTCTTAATTAGATTGGATTTCTCCATCTCTCTTGGGGAAACTAGGGGGAGGTTAAGGGGGAAGTAGAATCAGTTTTTCATAATTAGCTTAGAAAAAGAATAATGGAGACAGGATGTGGTATAGAGAGGTTAGAAGAGCCAATGTGGTGTAGTGCTTTAAGCATTGGATTATGACTCTAGAGACCAGGGTTTGAATCCCTGCTCAGGCATGGAAAGCCGCCGGGTGACCTTGGGCAAGTCACACTCTCTCAGTCTCTAGAGGAAAGTAGAGGCAAGATAAATCTTGGTGAGTAGACCCTGTGATAGGTTCTCCTTAAGAGTCACATAAGTCAGAAATGACTTGAAGACACACAACACGCACACAGAGGTTGCCTCCAGCCCTTCCTCCCAGTCCCCTTTCTAAGCAAACCTATCCTCAAAATGGAAGTAGAGGAATCAATAATGGGGGGATGCGTTATGACTGAAACCCAAAGAAATGTTGCAAGTCTCTTGCTTTTCAATAGGAAGGGATGTTTCACCTCAATCTTTTTATAGGTTGTGAATTTTATAACTGAGAATGGAGGACAGCTTTATTCTGAATTTTTTCACCCCCTTCCTCCATCAGGACTTGCAATATTAATCTTTCCTCCCTCCCTGTGCCTTTATTTTTGTTTGCAGGGAAGCTTAGTTGACTATCTTCGCTCCCGCGGGAGGTCTGTGCTCGGGGGAGACTGCCTGCTGAAGTTCTCCCTGTAAGTATGACTTCTAAGCTGGTTTGCCTCTATGTAATCCTACGTATGGGTTTTGATGCAGAGCTCTGGAAGAGTTCCTTTTTGAGGACTACAACTCCCAGAATTCCTTCCACCATTATGCATAATTCTGGGAGTTATAGTCCAAAAGCAGGAACTTCTATGCCTGTGCACAGCTACATTTACACTCATTTGTGTGCATGCATGAATTTGGAACTGGCTAAACAATTTGGCTACTTTGCTAATTACAGACAATGATGTTGGGTCTTTTTCTTTTTGGGTGAGGGGGAGCTGTGTGTGCTCTAGCCCAGCTTCAACACCCCTCAGTGCAAAATTGGTGTCTGTTTTAAGTAACTGACCAGCAAAAAGAGATGGATAGGTTCATCCAGAACCATAGCAAGTCTGCCTGGGATGGAGACATCCAATCTCTCTGTTCAGGAAATTGTTTTGGAAAAAAAAAGGATGTCTCTAGGGTAATGGCTGGGTCTTTTGTCAGAATGAGTCAAAAGCATGACCTGTGACATTTCATACATTTGATATTACTTTTAGTGAAGAGGGAATCTAAAGTGAGACATAAAAATTGCAAGTTTAAATACTCGTTTAAGTGCCAAAGAAAAGTAAATTGCTAGTGCAGAAAACAGGAATAGCAAAATCAGCCAACCAGTTAATTCAGAGGCTTGATCTACTTTCCAAAAGGCAGCAGCGGTTGGATGTTTCAAAGCACCAGGTAGTCCAAACTGAAAAGGCCCTTGCTTTTCAAACAAGGGTTCCACTGTAAGGTGGAATTTGAAGTAGTGGTTCACTTGTAGATCATAAATCTGGAGTGGCTTATATGGAAATAGTCTTCATCAAGGTAATAATGATTCCCAATGTCTCCTAAGGGAGTGGAATAATAGAATTGTAGCATTGGAAGGAACAACAAGAGCTGTCTTGTCTAACTCCCTCTTGTGCAGGATTGCAGTTACAGAATTCCTGATAGATGCCTCCAACCTCTGTTTAAAGTTCTCCAAAGAAGGAGAGTCCACCACCCTCTGAGACAATCTATTCCACTGTTGAACAGTAAAGTTCTTCCTAATATTAGGGGGAATCTTGTTTTCCTGTAATTTGAATCCATTGGTTTGTGTTCTACAGTCGCCCCTCCGTTTTCATGGACTTCACGTCCGCGTCCTTCACCTGTTTGCAGGGGGTGAAAGGAGGGGGTCAAAATGGGGTATGAAGCTTGAATATCCACGATTTTCCATTTTTCTGTGGGGGGGTGGTGGTGTCCAGAACAGATCCTCCGTGAGAACAGACGGGTGACTGTAGTCTCAGGAGCGGCAGAAAACAAGCTTGATCCATCCCTTCAGATATGTAAAGATGGATATCATGTTATCTCTAAGTCTTCTCTTTCTCCAGCTAAGCATGCTCAACTCCCCCAGTCTTTCCTCATAAGATTTGGTTTCCAGATTTTTGATCTCCTTGGTTGCCTTTCTCTGGAAGGTTTCCCAGTGAGGTCTGACCAAAGCCAAATAGAATGGCACTATTACATCCCTTGATCTGAACATTATACTCCTGTTGATGGAGTTTAGAGTTGCATTGGCTTTTTTGGTTGCTTCATCACACTGTTGACTCATGTCTCAGCTGTGGTCTACTAAAATCCCTAAATCATTTTCTCATTTACTGCATTCAAGCCAAGTATTTGTGCATTTGTCCTCTATTAGTGCATTTCATTTTCCTTGCCTAGATGTAGTAGCTTCCATTTCTCCCTCTTGAAATTCATTTTATTCGTTTGGGCCCAACTATCCAATCTGTCGAGGTCATTTTGAGTTCTCCTCCTGTCCTCTGCGGTATTAGCTATCCTTCCTAGTTTGGTGTTGTCTGCAAATTTGGTTTACAAAATTAGTAAGCATTGACAACCTCATTTTCTGAGCACTGGCCTATACGTTTCTTCTTTCCCTGCAGAGACGTCTGTGAAGCTATGGCATATCTGGAAGCCAACAATTTTGTTCATAGGGACTTGGCAGCACGGAATGTACTTGTTTCAGAGGACAACATTGCCAAAGTCAGTGATTTTGGGCTGACGAAAGAAGCTTCATCTACCCAAGACACGGGCAAGCTACCGGTGAAATGGACAGCACCAGAAGCACTTAGAGAAAAGGTCTGTGAAAGTGACACAGTGGTCTTTCTCGTGTATTAACTTAGCTGTTGTGGACATTTGCATGATCATGGATGGACAGAGGTGGCTTCTGATGGGTGCTTACATAGGGCCTTTGCAGACTGCCAGAAATAGTGCAAATTGAGTCCACCTTAAGGGTTAGGGTTAAGGTTAGGGAATCATGGGAACTGTATTTTATTGTGGCACCAGAGCTCTCTGACAGAGAAGGCTCAATGTCTCAGGAAAAAAACCAATTCCCATGATTCCCTAGCACTAACCCTAACCCTTAAAGTGGACTCAATTTGCACTATTTCTGGCAGTCTGCAAAGGCCCATAGTCAAACACTTTTCAACTTGTTTTACCATAAGAGGTGGGGAACTTTTGCAGCTTAAGAGCTGGATTTGGTTTCAGAGTTCTCAGGGTTCACATTCTTGTGGGGGGAGTGTAGCCAAAGGTAAAATTTATTACCATCAAGTTGTTTCTGACTCAAGGTGAACCTATAGCAGGGTTTTCTGGGACTAAGAGTATGGGACTTACCCAAGGTCATCTAGTAGGTTTCCATGGCCATATCATATGGGACAACGTGATCTCTCAGATACTCTGGTCCCAAGCCAGATGTGTATGTGTGTCTTTCTACTGTTGACAACTGTTTCTCTCAGTGATGGCCTCATGTTTGTTTAACTCTTGGCAGAATTTTTCAACCAAGTCAGATGTGTGGAGCTTTGGGATACTTCTCTGGGAAATCTACTCCTTTGGACGAGTGCCTTACCCAAGAATTGTAAGTTAAGCATGCACAACTCGGATTGGATTTTCATGGGGGTATATGTGGAGGAAATAATATTATCCACCCCCACCCTCCCCCATACATCTCTAGGTCACCAGTGCAACTCTGTGGTCAATATTTGCCAGACATTGACCATAGAATTGTACTGGAGGACCTACAAATGCCTAGAGAAGTGTTCTCTCTAGGAATCTCTGGGTCCTCCAGTGTGATGTCTGGTGGACGTTGACCATAGAGTCATGCTGGAGGACGCAAAGATTCCTAGAGAGAACATATTAATCAAATCCATGAATAATCAAAACTTCAGAAGTCAAAGCCTGTGGAGGGATGTACTTACATTGACCTGTGGATAGGTCAACCCAGGTATTTTGGGTCCATTTTTCACTAAAATTGCTAGATTTACACATGAGTATATATAATATATATCCAGGGGTCGCCATGCTGGCCATACATCAAAGTACAATACCATCCAAAATTCACAAAACAGCAATACCTTTGTTGGATCAACCAAAATGCACAAAATACATGATGCAAGTTTTCGAAACTCCGCTGGCTTCTTCATCAGGCAAAGGTGTAAAAAGTGTAATACCTTAAGGACTTTGTTTCTCTACTTTTGCAGCCTCTGAAGGATGTAGTTCCTTGTGTAGAGAAGGGGTAAATTGCTAGATTTATACATGAGTATATATAATATATATCCAGGGGTTGCCATGTTGGCCATACATCAAAGTACAATAACATCCAAAATCCACAAAACAGCAATACCTTTGTTGGATCAACCAAAATGCACAAAATACACGATGCAAGTTTTCGAAACTCCGCTGGCTTCTTCATCAGGCAAAGGTGTAAAAAGTATAATACCTTCAGGACTTTGTTTCTCTACTTTTGCAGCCTCTGAAGGATGTAGTTCCTCGTGTGGAGAAGGGGTACAAAATGGACGCCCCCGACGGCTGCCCCCAGATTGTCTATGAGGTGATGAAAAAGTGCTGGACCTTAGATCCTACTCACCGGCCGTCCTTCCACCAACTACGGGAACAGCTAGAGCATATCAAAGCCAGCGAGCTTTACCTGTGAGGTAGACAGGAGGGCGGGCTTTCTTCGGACGCGCCTTCTCCATCACTTCCTGTGATCCACCTCCTGTGCACGTGTGTCGGGGTAGGGCTGGGCAAGGGACCGAGTGAAGCGATATTATTATTATTTTTTTCCAGGAATCCAAATTCCGCCACTCAAGGGACTGTACTTCAAGAAACATACGGGACTTATGTGCATAATCCCCCTACCTGCCCCGGCTGGTGGGTGGGGAGATTGTTAATTCCTCCTCCTTCAAGGATGGCTTTCTTTGTATCTTTTCAATTC